GCGTTCAACGCGGTCTGTAATTCCAAGACAATAACGTAAGGAGCTTCTTTACCTAATGAGAAGCTGCTTGTTGCGCTGTCTAAGTAAACGGCTGTACATCAGCCAGGAGTATCACGGAATGAGAAATTGCTCCAAGATTGAGATCGAGTGGCTTCACTTCGGAGGATTACACGCCTCGGAATTCCACCAATATCTCTTCCCGGTGAAGGATAAATAGCGACAGGCAGACTACAAGCGGTTTTCGCTCGTCGAACTTTACATCCGTTACATTTCCACTTTAATAAATTTTGAAAACGTTACGCCGGGTACGAAGGCATGTTTAAGGGCGAGCCGGTGCATATTTTTAAATCGGGAACCTTGGAACGTTTGATTCGCTTCGTGAAAAGACCCTGCAACACAATGTTGCGTTCGCGAATAAAGGAAAAGGACCAGGGAAATTTTTCCCGTTACACGCGAAAAGAATGTACGGACTGTTTCGTGTGGCTGGTTGTACGATCGAGCAGGGCACTATTGTCCGTGGGGAAAATAAATAAAAAGTGCGAGACTAAACGTTTCCATGGTGCGTTTCGTTCTCGAGAAAATTGATTCTGGAAATTCGTTTGGTATTCGCAAACACACGCAAACACAATGATCAGTAATATAAAGTGAATATGAAGTTACATATAAAATGAGCTTATGATTAATGTATTGCAAACATTGACGATGGAGCGTTACTATCTATTTAAAAAATTTAGTCGACTGGATTTCTTTGCATTATACATTTGTTCAAGTTTTTTTGGCAAAAACAAATACGCCACAGTTGTCGGATTTTATCCAGAGGCGGGGAGCAAGTAGTACCGTGTCGCTGCGTGCATTCGCGGAGCAAGTAGAAATAACAAGCAATGGTCAGACGCGTCAGTCAAGTAGTAGAGGTAAATGCCAGAACAAACGAATCTTTCGAAGCAACTGTACGCGAGAGAAAATTTAGTATATTTTAACGAAAATGTAGAAACTCAAATGATCAAAGTAAGAACGGGATGGAATAGAAAATGGCTGCTTTGGTTAGCGACAAAGCGTCTCCGGAATGAAAAATATATATGAAAAATCGTAAAAATACTCAACGAACGTTTCGATAAGAAACGAACCGGTCGATTGTTTCGCTGGGAGAGATTTCACGGGAGTACAGTCGAGTCCATCGAATAAAGGCAATGGACTTGGAGTGAATTGTGTCGCGGTAAAAATATTCCAGACCCGACATTACCAGTAACAGCGAGGTCGAATATTCCGATGGAACTACGGTCGTTGCTTAACCCATGAATTCTTAGTAAATTCCTGCTCGCGGGTCCGTGTGTGTTCCTACTATTTCCTGTCTGTTTTCAGCGAACGCGTTGGAACCGTGATGCAAAGAACTGCAGCGTTGCAGGGGCGCTCGCGACGTCGTGACGCGAAACACATTCATTCGACGTAGAAGCGTCCGCTGAAACCTCACGGAGTCCCCAAATGGGCATGCCCTCGGGCACAATGAAGTTTGGGGAAAAAAACAAAACAAACAGCCTCCTTTCGCGGAGAATTCATTTGAAATCAGAACGGAGTATTATTCTATTCTCGTGGAAATACACTAGCAGCGACGCGGCCCACGGAATTATAATTCTCGATTTACGTCAGAGATTTTTCGAGGCTGGAAATTGTACCAACAGGCTCGCTTACGAGCGTCAAGACCCGACCGGTGACGTTGACGAAACTAATTCCGCTAACACTTTTTTAAATTCGATGAAAGGAATTTATATTAAAAGAACCGTGGCGTTCCGTTTACGTTGGCGCGGGCGAAACGTCCATTTTCTAGCCCGGGAATTTTTTAGAATTTCCTTGGCAAGCTAATGAACTCGTTATTGTGAATCGAACGAAAATCCAGCATGCTGAATTTGAAGAGTGGTATTTAAAATAGAAATACAGAAATTTTTTTATGAGACATCTGTTTCGAAACCTGACTTATGAGAGATCGTGATTAGTCATAATTAAGCTGAACAAAGATTGCACCAGTGTGCTTAAGAGATAGAGTATCGTGATAGCGTGTAACCGCGAAATTTGAACGTGTGGTTTAGCGTATCTGGTGAAAATTGAATGAGCGAGGCGAGGCTGCGTATCGAATAACAGTAGTTAAGCTGTTAAATATTTAGTCAGAAGTGTACTTAAATATTTAACGTTGATTCATTTTCTCGTGTGAAATGAGTCATTTTTGTGTAAATAGGATGGTGTCTTTTTACGTTATACTCCCGCAAAATAGATCAAGTATTTCTCGAACTCTGCCTTTTCCTTTGTTTCGGTTTGGAAAGGCTATGACAGGGAAACATGGTGGAGGCTTGGAGATTACTTTAATGAATTCGAACAAGTCTGTTTTCGGTGATTATGATTACTTCGAAGTTTCCAAGGACTTAGAGCAACTTGATCCTCCTTTGAAGGAGCCGCCAGAAAAGAGGACCGAGGGCAAAAAAATTCGTCAGAGGTATAAGCGATCGTGTAAGTTGTCCGGTCTTACGAACTTCGAAGCGCTAATTAATTCCTAAAGAGCGACGTGGTAACGAGCTTCTTATTCAAGAAGGATCTGTTTAATTATACGTCACTGTTCGGAATCTCGAGTGGTTCGAGGTCTCCAAAGATTTCACGGATCCATTGGAATCCATTAAATCAAAATAGTCCGTCGCCCTTGGGGCCAACGAATGAAATTGACTTCTATAACCCGTGAAAACAGCGTAACCGGGATTGTTCCTCGTTCAATTCAATCCTTAGACTTTATTGAATAAACCAATACATTTTTATAGATGAATTTTACCTGTTACAATATTGAATTGCTGTCATTATTTATTACAAGATTTATTTGTTTCCTTAATTCGTATAGCCCTCGTATATTAATATCCATTTTTTAAGACTACCTTTTTAAATCCAACGTGGACAAAATTAATGAAAAATTAATCAAGCTGTCATAGAATTAATTTATTAACTGATGCGATGTTTTTTATGATTGTTGCGCGATCTTTTCACGAATAAGTTTATTTCGAAACGATTAAAACGAGGCCCTCTTGTAGTCAAGCAAAATGTAATTCCGTGCAAACCGCCACGGAGAAGCGTGCTCTTCGTTGGAAAGCGATTGTCGATAGTCAGCTTTAAGCGAGTATGTTTCGTTGGAGCTTAGTGGCAAGAAATCCTATATCTGACCGCCAACGCTGGTGGGCATTAATGAACATAACTCATGTGTAATACTAAAACACGTCCTTAAACCATGTAGTCTCGACTGAATCCCCCTGCATGCGAAACAAGGCCGTTTAATCACAGCACGCGTCACGGCCTACCCTGTTAATTATACTTTCGACACATCGAACTGTGTTTTTACGGATCAATATATCCATTGATACGTATTGATAAGTCTAATAAAAATACGTAATTATAGTAGAAGAATGATATACTTATGATCAACAATCCTTTAATTTTACGAATCAACTTTCCTTTAATACCATTTTTTTCTTTCCTTGAAGAATTTCCTTTTCTTCTATCGTACATTATAAATTGATTATAAACAGTGATATTTTAATTACGTAGCGCCATGAAAAATTAATGTTCACTGCTTAAAGAATTGTAGGATTTCTTATATATTATCATTTTATTACAGGAATGCCTAAAATTGTTAGAATAGAAAATATACGAATTATAAAAGAGTTTTCTTTCTATTATTTACAATAAATAAGGTAACATCTTACGAAGTAAATTAAATAATTTGCGAAGATATAAATCAACGAGTTTAAAGGCGTTACGGAAACCAAACATTAAAGCGAGTAACTATAATTGTTGGCTAAAGAGGTGATTTGGTATATCAGATCCCTGGAGTCATGGATCGAAATAGGTCTCGTGTCACGAAAACCAGGTACACCCCTGGTCGGTCTCTGGATGGATTATGAAATCTAATTAATTCTAACGAGGAAGGGCACGTAACGTATCCATTGATGTGTTTTCGGTAGTGATTCGTAAATATAGACATTGGTTGACCTGCTCTACAAACCTGCATCCTTAGAAACTTCTGTTACACCTTCTCCAGGAGTATAATATACAGAGTGATTGTAGAAACTGGGATACAAAAAACTAGTTGAATTCGTCAATAGGCACTATCTTTCGATGATTTATTTCTCAACAACGATGCAAGTATAATATACAGTTTTACTTGTCATTTCAAACAAACAATTATTCGACCATAAAAAACGTAATATTTTCCGACGTATTTTATGCTAGAAAAGTACAAGGTTTTTTTATATATATATCTTTTAGCAGCAGTTATATTCATACAATTAAATTAAATTAATAAAGTACTCCGAAGGTGGAAGAAATAGAATAAAGTTCAGAGACAAAAGTCACAAAGAAAAGAACGAGAATAACAAAGAGTTATCTCTGGCGATGTTCAACGACGAAAGCTGTAGCGTGGTTGAAGGGGTTGAAGGTTCCTAAAGAGCGAATCGTGGAAGATGGAGTAACTTACAGATGTAAAAGGAGCCGTGGACAAAAGGATCACGATATTTAGATGTATGATAAATGGGACAAGATAAGCCGCTGTCTGGTTGTAAAGAATTTATCGCGGTGACGATCGTGGTTTACAAGCAAAAGATCGCGCGAATAAGGCGTCGAGGTAGAAAGTATTTTATACGTCGGACAACAAAGGCGTGTACCTTTGTTTAAACAGCCGGATTAACGAGAACAGTTGGCGGCTGTGGGGCGTCGCCGTAGCCATTTTTAATTTCGTAGATCCTTAAATCGTCTCCAGGTAGCAACAATTCGCTCCCTGGTAATGAAAACGAATCGTCGTTCGCGGAATTAAAGTCGGTTGATCTTTTTCGGCGCGATTTTTAATAACATTCCCGCGCGCTGTACGCGTCCGAACGACGGAAGAGATTTTTATCGAACTTGCGAGGGAAACGAGATTTGAAACAGATTGCGCGGCCATAACGGACGGCGTTTAATAAACCCGTCAGGCGACGTACCTCATAAACGGCTCCGAGTGGCATGACGAGGCAGGCGACCATAAGATCGGCGACGGCCAAGCTGACGATTAAGTAATTCGCCACGGACTGCAAATTCCGTTCCAGCAGGATCGCCGCTATCACGAATAGGTTTCCTGGAACAAAAATTTCCATCCTGTTTCCAACCAATAATTAACGCCCATTCGCTCCGTACAACGGCCATTGCGCATGTATTACGTGAAACATTACAATCGACGTATTACGTGGATACCTGGAACACGAGCAGCCCATTAATTTCTAAAAGGTGACTCGAGTAATAGTAGTAATAATAACGTCGCGAATAATCGAGTGATAGGAGAATAACGACCACTTTCGAAGGTCTTCCGCGTGAATATTTAATCGTGTTTCAACGTTTATTTTAGGACCTCTTCGAAAGAAACGATGTTAAAACGGTATAAAATAAAATATAATTAAAACACCTTCTAAAATTTGATTTCTAGCTTTCACGCGGTATGCATCGCTTCTATTATTTTTACCCTGCGGTTAGTAATTTATCTCGATATTATCGTAGCAAATAAAATACATATCCGAGGAGTCGATTTTCCGTCGAGCTCGTTTTCCATCGTAGACTGTTTCACGAGCACCGAAGGACGAATCACTATTAGTAGCTATTATCCATCGTGGTATCGGAGTTTCGCGAAGTTCTCCAGGCCCGTGGTAGACTGCTTTAATCAGAAATCCATTTAGTTACGCGCGGTTACCGAAGCTCGTGTAAATAATTCGTAAGCTGATTACCGAAGGATTCCCGAAGAGGACGCGGCAGGACGATTTCGTTCTACTTTCGGCGAAATTTCGCTCAGGTATCGTTCGCTCGAATTAATAATTCCCCTCCCTGGTTGGAGGCTACGCGGCTGGTTTCCCTCGTGTCAGGGTCAGAACGACGGTCCCGGTTCCTGGACTTTCAACTTTGGAATATTAAACGAACGTCACGAATCGCTGACCATAATTTCAGCATCAATTTCGCGAAGTTTCCAAACGGTCTCTGTCTTCTTTCCTCTTCTTTCGAACGTTGCGACCCGATGTCTGCGGTTTAGCGGTAAAGTTCGCTCGGCAAACGAGAGATGTTCGACCAGAAACGGTTCGCTTTACGCCGAAAACCGCTCCTAATTACTCCGTGGACGGTGTCGTCGCTTTGAAGGGTACGTAAACGTTTTGACGATAGTGTAATCAGCTTATTTGTACGTAACGGCCGGTGGCCGACAAACGCGACAGATAGCGGAGCCAATTCATCCGCTTTGTCCAGCGGACAATTTGCTACAACGACGCGACGCTCGGTGAATTCCCTGCCCCCCCCCCCCCTCGCGGCTGCGTTGGTTGTTTAACGATATTTTTGAAAAATTAATTCACTGCGACGGCCGGTGTCGATTGTCATCGAACGTACTCGTTCGACGAATAATTAATGGCTGGAGTGCCGTGCAAACAACCGTGGACGTTTATTCGTTATGAAATGCGAATCAAGCATTCCCATCGAAACGCTGAAATTTACAAATATACGTGAAAATGCCCAAGAGTTTATTTCATAGAAAACTTAGATTTATTTCGAGTGAAATTTTAAGCGTCTCGCGCCACGCGTGACAGTTAACTCTAGAGTGCTTCCGACGGGGTCTGACATGTGTACTTCAGTTGACAAATATTGCTTCGTAACGAGTAAATGCGTACCACTGTATATCTGTTAAGCGACATACGCGTGGACGCGTTAACTCACCGTCGGTGTCTTTCGATGTATTGTGTACAGGATTTCCCACAAATTGTGAATTCTATGCTAAGAAATAAGTTGAAGATATAGAATAAATTTTTTTTAAACGAGAATTTGCTTTCAAAAAGAATTTTGTTTGAATATCGATGGAAAACAAGTAGAAATAGCGAATAATGGTCAGCCACGTTTGTAGGTAAAAACGCTTGAAATATTTTTTTTGCAGTTTGAAATGTAGGGTGGTATTTTTCACTAATTCAAATTCTATTGACACATAAAATGACCAATCTATCCTTTCTAGTAATCGCAATACTTTCTTTGCGTCTTCTAAATTGTAAAAGAATCAATAAACGTTCAATATTATTCGCTACCAATGCTGCTGTTTCGAGGAATTACATCTTTTTTTTTGCAATGAGACACAAGGGGATTAATTTCGAATGCATTTCGTAAAGGATTGATTTGCTTTCGCGTATTCAATGTTTCATGCTTCGAGTTTACGGAGCCGTGAAACGCGGCGAACGATGTCACGAGCCCCGGGTTTCGCATTTAAACGATTCAATGAACGAAGAAGTTCGAAATGAAACAAAAACGTGGAGAAAACTGCGCCCAACCGCGCATAAAATTCGATTTTGTCGCTACGCGTACCACGGACTGATCATGTTCCCCCCCCAACGTGATTTAAACCGTTGTTGACTTCGTAACCGTTCAGCAATCCTTTCGATCGTAAATAGGATTTGTACCGGGGGTCACCGAACACAACCATATAAATATTATATCGCTCCGTATCTGTGCGAAGCTCGTATGGTCGAGTCATTAACTTTACCGTGGATCTAAATGGTGTAGAAGACCATTTAGCGAACCTGTGACGCCTGTGTAACACCGGAACGTTAATTTCGGCAATAATTTAAACCGCACAGAAGCTGATTTAACGTCCCCCTGATTATGCAACTCGTTGCATCCGGCATGCTGGCGACTAGCGTTATAATGTATCGTCTCATAAATTAAATATAAGGAAACAGATATTTCAAACGAATCTCGTATAAATTAAAGACGAATTCGAGGCTACAAAAATAATCAACAGTCAGAGATTTTTTAAAATATTCTCAGAATTTTCCTTACTGTCGTTTATGTATTTAAAATTATTAATATGGTTAGCTACGTAAATAAGTTGACTGTTCAGAATTTTCGAACGAAAACAACGTAACATTCGAAAATGATACATTGATTACAAATGGTCCATTAATCATTTAGTATCCGTGCTAGCCTTCGTCTATTCGTAAAGACGTAATACAACCAAAATTTAATAATTTTCAGGCAGAATTAAAATTAGTGAAAAGAATTAGTATTTAAAATTAGAATTAAGAAAAACTAGACGAATTCCCAGAATGAAAATTGTAGAAAATTGCTATGTCAGAACGCGGAGAACTTTTGCAAAAATATAATAGCGAAATCCAATCTTTGTAGGATGCCGTTTTAAAGCGACTCCGAAGATCATAAGTTTGATATCTGGGTATTTCAAAGGAAGTTTACGCGAAAAGTGCAAACTCAGCTGTTTCGGAGAGCAATTTGAGAGCACGGTGTCTTCCAGTGAAAGCTGGTTTAGGAGAGTAATGTCGTAAAATGTCTTTTCGGGGCATGTTTTTACGGCCACGGGCTGCAACAAAATGCAAATAGAAAATCGATTTTTACAAAAGTGCTAGACTACAATATCCTTTAAGCGCGGCGTTCGTGATGTCGATGCGAATGCCCGAGAATCTAAGTAACACGCGCGAAGCAGTTTCTTGGCTGAATGGTTTCCCGAACAGTTAAATTATTCGACCGAACGCGTACAAGCGCGAACCATTTCGATACAGCCGCGAACCCCGGTTCGGATTCGTTGACAAAAATTCTACTCTCTCGGGGGCTGGCCCTCGTTGGACCCCTTCAGAAACGGTTCCTTGTTTTTACCCCGAGTTTTATTGCGGCAACTTCGACGATGGTTGCGCGCGTAAAATAAAATTCACCAGGGATCAGCACGAATGGAAAATTTCTCTTTGCCCGGTAATCGTCAAGTACCAGAACGGATTGGAAAATCGTGCAGTCGACGATCGAGAAACCTCGAATATCGCGGGAGCCAAAGACTCGAGACTAAACGTAATAGGCATCGCAAATGGCGAACTATAAAAACTGAATCTTTTTAAAATGAAATTAAGTAGATAGCGTAGCGAATTCTGAAGTTTATAATTATTGTTTTCCTTTAAAAATCGAAATTGAGACGGGTAAAAAAAATATATTCGAAACTATTAACGTCAAAAGAAGAGAAAATTTCACTTAAAATATGAATCCGTTTGCTAGACTTTCTAAGCACTGCTTATGATGTATAAAAATTACAGTCGTATAGCATGCAGGTGAGCTCCAAGTGCTGATTAGGGTTAAATCGTACAGGTCACGCGATCTTTAGCTGCAGGCTCGTGCTTATCCTACAACGCACGTGCGTGTTTCGTTGATTCGACGGTGACGTTGTAATTGTTGTAAAATCACTGGAGAACCAATGTAAAAATAGTTCACTCAATAATTTTTTAATTTAAATTATTCGTGTTTTATTTATTATTTGAATTCGTAATGCGTTGACGATGACTCGACGATCAGCGAAAATTTAGCGACACGGCGTTAAAGGCGGTGATTAATGCGACGATTATTAGCAGGCGTTAAACAACGGGCGAACGTTCAGATTTGCAATTAGATAGGCAATTATGCGAGCGCAAAGATTGACACAACGATAATAGAAATGATAAAAAGTTAATCACCTGTTGGAATTCCGTGAGTTTTCTCTTCTCCGTCAATTATTGAATACAACGGAGAGTAAACACCGACTCAATTGTCAGTTTTTATTCGCCTCGGAATTTTCAAAAGCACCGTTATATTCCCAGTAGTTAAAAAACTTTTATAATCGGTTACAAAAATCATGAAACATGGCGCGGATTCTATATTAAATTTTAGCAAACATTCTATAATATCTCTAATATCTTCCGTCGAAGGTTTGCAGCGCCAAAGACGAGACGATTCGAAACGTTTAATTACAATATCGCGAATGTTCCGCAACAATGTTACCGCGTATATTCCCAAATGAATTATCGTTACAAATTCCACTGGTTGTTTATGCCTCGATGGGGAAACGCACGAACGCGATGAATTTCCTCGATAGAAGATCGCCATAAATTGGGAATAATCTGATTACGCGGAAGCATTGCACGCGTTTATGAGAAAATTGCGAACCGTCGTTACTTTGAGCGTTTCGCTCGGCGCCGAGTGCCCGTGAAATTACTCTAATTTGGACACAGGCACCGGATACCACCGTTGCGATGTTCAACGGGCCAGTTAGTTGGCCAGTGAACTGCGCCAGTAACAGAATTTACAGTCAGA